TCCACAATTTGCTTATTCTTAAATAAGCCGCCATAATAAGTTTCGCTTAAATCCGCTTTTGCGCCTTAAATTTGGGGCGTAAAACCCGCAAGTCGCAACTTTAACTATCTAATGTCTCTTTCCGTGAGAAACGCTAAGGAAATTGTCCAGTTGGAAGTTGATTACGGGTTTCAATGCTGAAATTTTCTCATTTTTAACGCTTTTACTATGTGAATATTCCCAGATTTTCCAAAAGCTTCATTGAAGTCCTCACAGGACAATTAAAACTAGTTAAATCCACAAAGAGAAAATTTATAAACGGACATGAAAGTCTTAATGGATTCTGGGAATGGTCGGAACTAAGAACTTTATTTGCACTCTTAAAAGCAGAACACGATTCAGGGAAAAGAGGTAATAAAATGATATTTCAGAGATTTTCCCATATCTGGAATAACGGCTTTTAGCATTTTATGTATTTGACTTCCTAGTGCTGTTTTGAATTGTTTGGAAAATTGTATGTTTTACTGTTTGGATTTTATGTGTTCGGAAGAATTGAGTTACATCTTCCGTACATATAAACAACATAAATTTGGCAGATTTTAACTCAGTTAACTGAAACATCAGCTCAATTGTCTCAGTTTGATCTTCAGATCCAAGAGGACTTTGATTTCTGAACTTCCCCAAGCCTTCATTTTGACTAATTTGCTAGCGAGTCTGGACCTGGATCGAAACTCCTTTCATTTTCCAAAAATAGCCGTTTCGACCCTTTCGTGTAAAGGTTTTTTGGAAAATTGAAGGAATTTTAATCCAGTCCGAAACCCGCTACCAGAACAGACACTTTTTAATAATCCCATTTTCAACCTGTGCACTTTGTTTTTTGTTAATCTCTATTTTCATGCGTTGCCTAGATATCAGATGCATCCAGATATTCATTGCGTAACTTTGCCAATTAGGTATTTGCAATATTTGATAAATTGAAGCGCTTTTATGGAATAAATCCGTCTAGATATATTGCGTGATGTTCCAGCATTTATTGCGATCAATTTTTCATTTTGTGATGAATGATGCCAGTGGAATAATGTGCAACTGTGTTTGACTTGTCTGGATTTTTGTAGAAATATTCGAAACAACACCTGAAGAAAAAGCTGATTTTTGGAGCCCAAAATCAAACATTAATCCGAAACTATTCGCTTGCTAACGGACTTGTGAACAAATTAAGTCTGCGGTTTCCATTACCCCGATCCAATCGAGTCGATTTAATTTTTAATCGATTACTCCTATCCATCGGAAATTGATTCAAATTGCCGATACATTGCCGAGCAGCTGCTCCGAACGAAACCTAATACATTTAATGATATCGAGAAGACAATGTTCCCGACTTTCTGAAGAAATTGTGTCTATTGGATTATTGCCGAATTTGTCGCCCTAAATGGATTTTCTTCAGCTCCGTACTTGTGGGTGTGTGTCATTTATAGCGACTTGAAACAAATGATTCGTGCTTCAAAATCCGGCCATAATACCGGAAAACTTTGAGCTGAATCAACAGAAACACCCACTAATCTGCATAATTTTGCGATGATTATTCACGATACTCAGCACGTTTCACTAATTTCCATAATTTGGTCATCACCAGGTTCAGGGGCTTACGTACAAACACCACTGAAAATCGTCTTAGCATTATTGCTGCGACGTAATCCAGCCAAATGTCCAGGAAAAGCATGTTGATTTGGAAAGTAGTTCTAATTCAGCAACGATCCAGCGAGTCGAAACTTGTATTCCGTTCGTTTATGTACTGGCATCAGCTTCCAACTAATTTCCGAACTTCCTCCGGCAATTAAAGTGGACATTGAAAGTTTCCATTTCGCTTCAAAATGCGCTTTCTACTTTAAAAAGTTTACATCGGATGAGTTTATGCGCTCTGAAAATTAAATAAACTTCTTGAAACCCTGACGATCGTTCGAGAAATAGTCAAAGAATAATTTCGAAAGATTCACCGTTATTAGTTGCAACGACTAGAACAAATGAGGCAAAAAAGCTTCGCTTTGTAGCATAACTTGGCTAGCTTTTCAAAGTTTCAATGTTCTGCAAATTAAGCCGACTATTCCCAAGTGGACCAACATCGGCTTTGATCTCGACGAATTATATCCAGTAAAGCAAACAGCAAGGAATTTATTAATTTTTAATATTCTGGATATTGTTGTGAGGATGGTTCATTGAAAGTTCACCCAAGGCGCCATATTTTGCAAAAAAATTCGGTTTGGAATCTGGCTTTGCAATCGTTCTAAAACCTAAACAAACGATTTTCTTCTTCAAAAAATCGAGCTTTTCTTGCTTTAAAAAAGTCGAGCTTTGATATTTTGGAATGATAGCAAAACCGCTAACCCAAACACATTTTTCTTGCAAAATATCGCATATGTGGGCGAACCATCATCGGGAAGCGATCCTGAATATTCGTCAATTTCTTCCCCAAAAAATCTACTATCAGGAAAAAACGCTACTAAAAATGGTTCAAATGCGCTTAGTAAAAATACAGGGAGGTTTCTTCTAGTGTCCTGTAAAATCAAAGAAGCAGCAACTGCAAACTCTAAACTTGCTGAAATTTAACCAAAGCATGCATAATTACAAAGAAAATATTTCGTTTTCAGAGTTCTGGGAGCATCACTTTTCATGCAAATACCCGAACAGCTCCAAAACTCCCTACAATATTCGCTACACGAAGAGTTGTACAGGGCGTGAAAAACTAACCGAAGACAATACGGTGTTTGAAGATCAGCTCCAATTCGTCTCGGATGCAGTAATGGCTTTTGCGTATGCCATCAGGTGAGTTTTTCGCTTTTTTTCGCGAATCATCCACGTACCTGAAAACATTATATTCACCGAAAGCGCATTTATTTATCAATCTGCTCGGGAAGTTTGAACAGGTTCGCTCTACTTGACCGGAAATAAAGCCGATCCATAAATCTTGCGCGGAAATCAGAAACTTTGAACGATACCGAACTATTTGTTACCTGTTTTACGGTTTTCAGTTTCAGTTCATTTTCAGTGCCCCTTTTTTTGCGTGAAGCTCTACGGTGATCCGTAAAGCCTCCAATGACTAGGAGCAGACGTTTCAATTTTCCGTTGAAAAATGAACAGTGATTCGCATTTTTAAGCTGAAAACTATCGCGTGTTGAGAGAAAGTAATGACTTTATCAAGGGTGTGAGTCAAAGGAGGCAGACTAATAAATATGTGTGGTAGAAAAAGACGGACGACCACTGATGTGTTGAGGCTGACGCGTGATGCTTTACCTCGTGCTCTTTCTAATACACGCGTTCAAATAACTGTTCCGTTCCGGTTTCGGTCCAAATATTTTCGATTCAGTTCCGGTTCCGGTTTTATTTCGGTCTCAAAATCTATGTTTTTTGTACGGTAAATACAATTATAAGAAGTAAGTATAGAAGATTGGAATCAACGTAAGGACACAAACAAAAATTAAGTTAATCGTGGAATTTTTGAGTATTTTTACTGAGTTTTCTGTTCAATCATGTTCTCATTTTCCGGCGTGATTATCGGTTGGGGCCAGGAAAAATTAGCCGTAATTGATGGACAGCACTTGTAGAAAGAATTACAAGCCCTAATTGAGCATCTGTGTGGGCACGAAAATCGACTGCCGTGATGATTGAAACTGATAAGCGTGGAAAAAAATCCCTATCAAAAATATTACTTTCCTTTCACCGAAAATTCCGTTTCGTGTTTCCTGTGATCATTTATGACAAGCGGAATAGTCGGTTCAAATGAAGAAAAGCCAGGGTGCGTGTAGTGATTTATTTTTCGGTTTATGTCTGTCGATGCCCCGCCTGTGTATATCGCAAACGCTCTTTTATTCTGGCGACTTTTTCTTCTGCAGATCGACTTCAGGGAGCTCTCAATAACTGAATAGATAAAGACGCTATTGACGGCCGCTTTTCATAAAAACGGCGATTTTAGTGCCGCATCCGCATGAAAATGTTCTGAAGAAAACTGCGGAAGTAATCGTTTCCTGAGCAGAAATGCCAGATTTCATCGGAGGAAATTTTCGGTGTGGATGAAAAAGTTGATGTTTTTGCCGAAAATTTTATAAATTAATACACCCGTTTTATCCACCGTTATTTAATCAAAGAGCCAACAAAAGCTCCCCGGGGGATTGAATGAAAATAAATTTGTCAGCGAGATTTAATTTCCGATATGATCAACATCTCTTTTCCGCTTTCCTTATCTTTGCCTGTTCTCGCCCCAAAGCAGCAACAACTTTATTATTAACGCACTTATCAGAGGAACTTCTGTTTACAAACTGGGTTTTTCACATGAAACCGACCAAATAGTCAGCCGGAATAAGCCCTTTGGTTCACACTCAGAAAGAATGATTGTGATGGTTGAATAACTGTTCGTTACGGGTATTTTCCTCTCAAGTTGTGGCAGTTTTGGAAATTCAGTGTTTTATATATTTATATGGCAGGTTGAAGGGATTTGAGCGAACAAATACTTTCGACAGCATTAAAATAAAAATAGCTCTTGGCTGTTGAGTATTTTATCAATTTTGTTATCCAAATCCCCTTAAACTGGGCTGTTATTCGCACGTCCAGTTTTTCTGCAATATTTCACTTATATTCCGCAATTTTACGATTTCTTTTCGCCCTAAAACCGGCGATAAATTTCGCAGATCTTCCGCTTTATCATTTTAGGACAAACGCAGATTTTCCTTCGGCCCTATCGATTTCGGAAAGCAATAATTTGCCGAAGGATGCGGTGTAAAAAAGGATTTGTCAACTAAAGGGTATGTTCGAACGACGAAAGGGGTTTTCGGGAAATAAATCTTCTGGAAGAATACGGTTTAGCAATTAGGAAAATGAAAACCAAGGAGCTTAACTGAGAATATTTCCTTTTCATTTCAGAGATCTTCATGCCGATTTTTGCAAAAAGCCTGGTTTATGTGATGCAATGAAACCAACTAATGGCACCGATTTGCTGAAGTATTTGCACAAAGTCAACTTCACTGGTAAGCGATGCAAAATTGATCTTCCCTTAAAGGCAAACTAAAATCTCCGATCAAATGTAAATAATCCAGGTGTTTTTAAGCAGCGTTTTAATATGCAGAAGCTTTTTGCCGTTAGGGAAAGAATCGCAAAACTTTCAAATAATGAGATTTGAGTGAGAAAAACCGCAAAGTTCCTTTTGCGAAAGCCGCCCTTTGATTTTTTAGATCATTAGGCAGGGGTCAGAAAGTTTTTCGAGCGGGAATTTTCATTTAACAGAGTGCTGATCCCAACCAACTTACGTGAAGTCGAAAGGTTTTTTTAGTAAATCCCGAAAGCTGATGGCATCGCAGGTTATTATTTTTAAAATGTGTCAAAGGAAAATTGGAAAGAACCGCCTTTGGGTATAAATGGACAAGGAAGGCTCTGATGAGGCAGAAAGTTTCACTGTTTTTGATTAACATTTTGTGTGCTGTTTACGCGAAAATCCAATGCAATTAAACACCTCGATGATTTTCCGTTAAGTACCCAACTACAACTAGTTCAGAAACAAATCTGGTTGCATCCCAAAGCCAAATTGGCTCGGTAACAACCCAATTATGGCCCGGAAACTTATTTTAAACTTGGTGCTCTTAACCGTAAAATTGACCAAATGACTGCTATATCCGTTTGGATGGAAGCTGCGGAAACACCACAACTACTTTCGGCCAAACTTTTTAATGGTAAATCTGTTGAAAGGGACAATTCACTAAACTCGCGAAACGATGCCGCAACGTTCACTTCCCCGGGAAGTTTAACGATGTTTTCAGCTCATGAATGTCTGAAGAGTTTGATGGAAATTTTCATAAATTTGGGACAGAAAAATTGAAAACCGTATGAAGAAGCAAATATATGCTAATGAGCCAGCGCTACTCGGATAATTTTGCAAATACATTGTGGAATTGTGGGAATAAATTAAGCTGCAAGCAGGCATAAGTTGTCCATATGTAACGCCAGGATTTTTCTAAACTAGGTGGATTTTGCCTCTGTTAGAGCCGTAGAAGTTCCGAACCCTTCCGATCTCAAATGCCCAACAAACGGGCGGTTGTTTGCTGTTTGTTAGCCCCCAAAATGGCGAAGAATCTATGACTCGATAACAATTTAAAAAATCGCTTATTTCTTACATATTCAATTGAATATCGTCTAATAAAGCAATTTATTTTGGGACTTAAAACCCGCGGAAAATGTATTTACTGGTCTCACTGAAAATACTTTTTCAGTAAAAAAAGTCGTTGATATTCAATAAGAACTAAAAATTTTGTAGATAAGTTCTATATTGTTGAGGCGGATTCATTTTTTACAAACTTCTTCTTGGGTATTTCGCCTCAAAAATGTTGACAGAATTTCCTCACGTCTTTTATTACAGATTGATAAATAGTGCTCCTATTTTGCAATAAGAACGAATTATTTATTAAAAAGTAATCAAGAATCTTCAAATCAAGAAATTTCAAATTAATTTCTCTACTAATTG